TTGCAACAGACAACAAGTGTCTCCTGCAAGCTTGCGTCATGCGAAAGCCTGCGGTGTCAAGGTTTGTGCATGCGGTGCGGCCGGGCTGGGCAGAGGGTCCTCGGAGATCACTCGGTTGCGCGATGAGATTACGAAAAAGCAGTACCCTTGGCTAATGTGGTATACATTTACATGCAGGTGATAAGGAGGGTGAGATCATCCCCGAAAAATGTGAAAGTCGAGCACCTTTTGAGATCGATTTTGTCTACGCATCACCGCAGGGACAAAATGTTAGAATTAGATATCACGATTCTCTTCGCTCCCAGTTTCCAAGGCCTAGGCACCACAAAAAAGCTTGATCAAAGCCTTGTATGACACGCTTCTCTGGAACTGTGCGCGTGTCATACACGCATTGGCAGGTGTTGCGGCATGAACGCCCAGCGACCCTGTCACGCTGCGTTTGACGCCTTCCCATGACCCAAACCAGCGGCTGGTTGTGTGCGCCCCAGCAGTGGCGAATGAATGGACCTGAGTCGGGGGGAGATGATCGGGCGAACAAAAGTCACCGTCAGTCAAGGGCAGGGCTCAGAATGCTCCACAGCGCCAGGTCTGGTTGTCAGCCTCCTTGGTTTCCAACTTCATCAAGTTTTTCCCGGCGGAAACGACAGCGGAGGTGCCGACCTGAAGATCAAGAAGCGGGGATGCCGAAGTGAGTCCCGATATGGGCGCATGGGGGTGGGGCTGGAAACTGCGCCCGGCTGCAGATGGGGTTTACGATAAGCAGCTGCAGCCCGCTAGAGCTGAGAGCAGCGCTGCCATATTTGGCCAGCCGCTCCGTTCGGGTCTCTGACGCATGCGCCAACTCCAGGATGACAGAAGTCATGCAACGTGGAGCGGCGTGCCTCACCTTGGGCTGGGTAGTGCAGCTGTGATCAAGGACGTTGTTTCGAAAATTCAGTACAGGGGGTGAACGGGAAAAAACTAAAACTACGCTCAAAGTCAGGTTTGCCAAAAACGTGTGCTCTCACCAGATCTGACGTGATTTCCACTCAAAGTTCGGTGGGGGGGGGGGGGGGGCTATGGTTCGAACAGAATAGGGAAGCTAGAATGGTGAGGGGGGCTCGTTCACTCTACCATTATCAAACCAATTACACGCATTGGTATGTGCACACGTAAATGTTTGCACTACAAAATTGGGGAGAGGCACTTCAAACTAAGTAGATCGAGAACGTGTGATGCCTTTTCACAACAACGAATTCTAGGTGCATGCAGCGCCCTAAACTGGGTATATAGCGATGCATTCTGGGTCTGATATCCCTCCATCGCGAGATCCTGCGTACGCCCCTGCGAGTAACTAAATAGGTCATTCAACAGAAATGATAGACAACTGTCGGTAAGAAAATAACCCTCAGACTTGTCTAAAGACTGTCGGCAGCGTACCCAAGCTCCTCCGAGGACCATGAGTGGAGAGAACGGCACAGCAGTTTTTGTTGCGATCACACCACCTGTCAATGAGACCACCATGATTCTAGAATTTTGCTATTAAAAGCACCCGCTCCGACAGCCTGGCCACATCAACTTTCCTCCGCACTTTCCACCGGCGCCGAGAACCCGACCAGCAGCGTGTCGTGACCCGTACGGAGAGTGAAGTCCAACAGGCTGCGGCTCGTGTGCGCGGTGAGTATTCAGTCGAGGAGCAGGCGCGGACCTGTCCGCAGGCCGCGCACTCGCACGAGGGGCGTGCTGTGACTCGTCCGGCATTCGCTGCGGCCACAGGCGTGACGCGTGGCGAGGCGCGGCCGTAGCGAGACGGTTGGACGTCACGTGACTCCTGTGGCATGGGACGTGACGGGATGTGGCGACCCAGAGGTTCGCCCCGCCCACGCGCCAGCGTCGTGCGCGCCGGCACGGAGCAGGTCTCGACGCGCTGAGCCTGCCTCTCAGAACCGTCTCTGCGGAAGCGGTGTGTTTACGTGTCGAGTTCGCGGTACGCGGCTGGCACGCGTGCCGCCACTGCCATCTGTCGGAGCCCGCCCCGCTCACCTGACCTGAGCTCTGAGTCAGCGGCGGCGTGCGGGGGTGTGCCGTACGCCGGGGGCCTCCTGGCCCGGCCATGGCCGCCGGGCTCCCGCCATGGTTGACCTTTGGAGTGATGGTCGCGCCGCCGGCTGAGTCAGAGCCTCGGGCTCAGCTCCGGGGATGATAGCAGCACTGCAGCTTCGGCGGTGGCTCAGACTATTGGCAGCTGTCGAAAACGTGGAAGGCCAGTAGTGGAACCCCACGCCCTTTTGGGGCAGGCAACGCTTAATCTGCGGGATTCTTTACATAGATCAGACAGTAGTAATAACCTTATTCCTCGGAGAAAAATCAGGAGAATGGATGCATAGATGTAGAGATCTCCTGGTTTTTCGGCGGGAAATAAGGTTCTTAACTACTGCTGTCTTTACTATGTGAATAATGTTCCTCGCAAATGCCCTTAACAACTTACGAAATTTGCATATGACGTGTAAGAGTTAAAGAGCACAGTAATATTGTTTCATCCCCAATCGATAATCGTAAAACGATACGGTAGGTGTAGGTGATAGCATATATATACGCTGCCAACGCCGTCATATCTTGTCGGGCGAGAACCAAATCACTCAGGGTGTCTGTGCACAGGGATGACGCAATGTTGTGTTTTTCTATTGCGACAGCCTCTAGCCCGTTGCGAGCTAGTCTTCGCACCGCAAGAGATTCAAAACGATCTTCATCTCGAGGCAGTGACCCAAGCCAGACCGAACCAACACGTGAAATCGCGTGTCAGTGCGTGATTTCGTTGCTTATCTTGAACTCCACCGCCGACAAAGGATGGCCATCGGGTGCCATGACTGGCAACGAGCGCATGTTCTTCAGTACCGCCTGCCCGCAACCAGCGCCATCTCACGGCGTCGCGTGCCACCAGACGCCGTAACGTGCTCGCTGCAGCGGCCGGGAGCACGGGTGACCCCGGGGTGACCTCTCGCTGCGCTGGGGAGCCCGCTCACCGCGTTGGGCTGGCATGAGTAGACCGCGTACCGCTGGGATGAACACTCAGAGTACCACTCTCTTTAACTCTACGTTGGATTCGTCAGACTATCAGAATAGAATGCATCGCAAAGCATCAATACCCACCTGACATGCTTGCCTTTTTATGGGAAAGCAGGAGCGTTGTGCTTCCGTGCCCCCTCCCTTCACCGAGAAGGGCTCCACTCCCTCAGATGGCCACAGCACGGGCGCCGACTTGTGGTCAGTGGGCCCCGCTTCCTCAGCCCGCCACAGCGCCGGGGAGCCTCTCCGGCCCGCGCCGGCGGCAGCTCCCGCGGCCGTAACGGATCGTCTCGCTGCAACAGTGGCCATCTTGTCAGCGGCCGGTGACTCAGCGACGCCCCCCCCCCCCCCCCCCCACCGCGGCGGCGCCCGGCACCCGGCACGCTGACGTCAGGAGACGGCGGCCGAGATCAGCTGACGTCACAGACACGGACGCGGACGCGGCCGGAGCACGCCAAAATCAGCAGCCATGGGCGGGCGAGCGGAAACGGATTTCCCGCTACCTTTTGCCGTTGCGCGAAATGTCGAGTACGATTTTGGGTGATGTGGGTCAAATGTGGAGCGGGCCGAATCCAACATTGGAGGCCAAGGATGACAAAGCCTCTCAAAAGAGGTACTGATCACCCGTGAATGCTGCGGAGCATACTGGCGCCTGTCGGGGGGGGGGGGGGGAGGGTCGCCTGGACCCGTGCCACGCGACCGGCATGGCGTCATCGCACCACCACGTGATGCGTGGCTTGCGGCAAGCGCTCCCGCCGGCCCCAGCGTCATCCAGACGAGTACCCTGGCAGTGCGGTGCAGCTCTGATATTTTGAGGAGGCTAGCGTAGTAGACCGGAACTGAGTCATAACCTAGCGTGCTGAAGCGTTCTTTCGGCCAACGGAAGTCTTTTCCAGTCGGCCGACGCCAAGCCGGAGCGATCTCGATCAGGTCGGTCCATGTCAGCACACCTGGGCCGCATTCCTCATTGTCAAAGTACCTGAGTTGCTACTTATGACGTCGCAACCGCCTGTCATGCATAAGCGACTCTCCTCCAAGCCGTAGGAGATGTTGTGACGCACTTCCTCTGACGTCAGAGGTTGCATCTAGTGAACAGCGTTTGGTAATACGACCCAGGTATTCGGTTTTTGTTGCCACTAGACCTCCCCCCCCCCCCCCCCCCCCCCCTATCTCGTGATTTGTCACCGCCCGCCGCAGTCCGCGCGACGACGTCACGTGACTCAGCGCCCGGGGCATGGCCGGTGACTCCTCGCGCCGTTGCCACACGTTGGACGCAGTCTTGCCACCAGACCGACCGTTGCCAGCTGACTCGGCCGGTGTCAGGTGTCCAGACAGGGCGCACCCGGCGCGGAGGCAGACGGCCGTCGCTCGCGTCGGACGTACTCTCAGCCGGCGGACGCGAGCTGGCGGACGCGAGCTGCGTCTGGCGTACTCTCGGTTGGCGGACGCGAGCTGCGTCGGACGTACTCTCAGCCGGCGGACGCGAGCTGGCGGACGCGAGCTGCGTCTGGCGTACTCTCAGCCGGCGGACGCGAGCTGCGTCGGACGTACTCTCAGCTGGCGGACGCGAGCTGCGTCCAGGGTCCGGCGCCGGGCCGTCGGGAGCGTGAGGGATATGAGGGTAAGGGCGGGATCAGTAGCGACAGAGCGGCGCCAATATTGCTGACGCCGTAGTAACCCACGAACGTGGCTCTCGCGTTTCGTCAGGTTTTGAAACTTAGCACGTCCTGCCCCGGAACAGCTGAGTTATTGGCATCCCAGCCGGCGCCGCCCTATTTAACCGATTCGCCGCTTTCATGCGATGTTGAATGCAAACTTCGTCCAATCGTGGCATTGGTGGTCACTTTGCCTGAGCTCGAATCCCGCAAAAACAATGCCCGGCACCACAGCATGGCCTTGCAGTTGAGCGTCCGCTAACCGCAACACGACCGCGGGAGGACGCCAACACGGAATACTTGCAAGGCATTCGATGTATTAAGGCTGACATGTTCGCCACTCGGCACAACCGGCAGAGGATCAACATATGTGTATATAGACACTGTCTTCAGCGTGGACTGGTTAAAAGGCGAGGTAATCCACCAGTGGGAGGCATCGGCATGCGCACGCGACAGCTGCGTTCGGGAGTCATGTGCCGCCACATTTGTACATGGTGACTAGCTGGATCATCTACACAAGACATACACATGGTGAGCGATGTACAAAACGAAACTGACAATGCATAGCCATTCAAATCATCACCATCTCATTCAAAAGTGCGTTCATCCTTCACGGTACCCTATCAACGCTCTGAGGTCGACAGCATAACAGCTGGCTGAGAAACTCTCGTAGGAATGTGTGGCACGCAAAGCACGTCTGGCCATCCACGTCTCAAAACCCTTCATATGTCACCAGCAGTGAGCCGCGGCCCATCTCGCCCACACCACTAGCGCCACCTGTATCGCGACAGCCGCACTCAAAGTCTGCGCGGCGGCGCCACCTATCACGTTTGTCGCCTCCTCGCGTTCCTCATCCACCACGGGTTTGTGGAAGCAGAGATGGTCCATGTTGCGCTTGATATCAACACAGCTAGCGCGCGCCGGCGCGTCACCCTCGCACGCACAAGTCTGCAGCTTGGCCGCGCGCTGCTGTCGCTGCAGGATCGAGATCGAGTTGTTGCAGCGGCGCGAGCAGCGGCGGCCGGCGAACATGGCGCGACAGTTGCGGAAGTAGTAGTCGAGCGCCGTGCCGCACAGGTTGTCGGCGCCGCAGATCCACTGGGCCACCTCGCACGAGACGACCGTGTCGTTGCGGTTGGCGTACTGCACCTGAGGCCGACACGGGTCCAGCCGCCGCTTGGTGGCGCGGCAGAACTGGTCTTCGCCGCAGTCGCACTGTGGGGGCAGGGAGCAGTGGTGTCAGCGTCATCCCAGGCCCTGACACTGTGCGACGAGTGCGACACTGAGTCTGCAAACATTCTGTGTGGTCGGCTGCCTACGGAGCGTCACAGTCCGGATATGTTCGTTACGTACAGGCCTCGACTCTGGCGACCTCCTAAGTGTGTAAAGAGAGAACGGGGCGGGAGTGATTACACAATCTCTGCCTTGCAACATACAGAAAGGACGAAAGCCCGCCTTTCTCTTCACCCACGTATTCCGGTTCACGCAAACCTTACCGGTCCACGGACTGTGATGCAGCAAAAAAGTACGCTGACGTAGACAAAAATAGAAACAGAAGCAAGGGGAAGGCCAGATCCTCAGCACACTTTACGCAGCTTATCGGAGAGGAGTGCAAAAAATGGACAAGTCAAAACAAAACTGAACAATTAGCGGCACGTGAGAATACCAGCCCATCCTAATACTCTCTCCCCTCCCCCTCCCCCCGGGACGGCGCAGGGTCTCCACCATCACTGGCTTCGGGAAGGGAGGCTCCGGAACAGTCTGCCAGCGGTGCAGGTACGCGCGCGCGGGTCACGTCCGGCAGTAACAAACTGCCCCCGGACGGCCGATCAGTCAGCCGATCTTGAGCCATTGGTGCGCAGAGCCGTCTAGCGGCCGGGCGGCGAACCTCGCCGGCGGCGTGATCGGCCAGCTGATACGGGGCCGGGAGAGATCACGGAACGAGCACAGCGCGAATGCATGTGGTCAAAAGGACCGATGCGGGACGTGGACGTAGAACGGCAAAGGTTATGAACAGGGCAAAGAAACAGTAAGAAAAGGCGTAACAGCGAGGAAAGGAGGCAGTCTGCTTGCTCCATCATCATCCTGCTCCAGACACATCCTGTCTCATTCTACGCCACGTACGTCTCGCCACATATTTCCAACAAAGAAAAGACAAATCACGTGACATGGACTTCGTCAACAACCTCACACCGTGCTCTGTCCTGACCTGCTCGGCATCTACACGCAGGTCCACCACCCCGGGTCCCACCCGCAGCGAACTCCAACAGAGCATGCCCAGTGCGGTGCCCCTTCCCCCGCGCGACTCACCTCCATCAGCGCGTGGCCCGGCTGCGTCGAAGTGAGAGCGATCAGACTCTTGGTGCAGAAGTCGTTGCACGTCTTGGCGTGTCCGTTCATGATGTCCAGGCAGCCGTCCATGTAGTTGTCGAGCGCCTTCCGGCAGCCGTCGCGGTAGAGGCACTTCATGCGCGCCAGGCCACATGGCAGCCGCTGCTGCTCGTCGCCGTCCACAGATGGCAGCAGCGTCGCCAGCGCCAGCGCCGCCGCCGCCAGGGCGCACCGCTGCGCCCTCATACCGCCTGCCTGTGGAACAGAGCATAATCGATGAAGCCCACCGGTAGAGATCAGGCAAAACCCACCGAACACAGGCAACTCAGGCCGAGCTGGCCGACGGACGGTTTTAAAGGCTAAGACGATGAAGCATCGCCCATCCAAATAAACGGCGGGTTTCGTGGACGACACCTTAAGACAGACACCGGTTTGAATGCAGCGCGTCAGGGATGATATGGCGACGCACTTCTTCGCGACGACAAACATTTTCTCCGGATGGTTGCCTGGGAAAATTCCTAAACCCAGCCGACAACACGATCTGGGCTGAAGGAGAGAAGCTGGCCGCGCCGGCGTGAGAAAGAGAAGGGGGGGGGGGGGGCGAGGCTCGGCGCAACGGAGGAGGACCCTTCGGCTCTCGCATGGGAGAGCGTCAGCAGGGGTGCTCCGACCACCAACACCGATCACGACCCGGGGCTGGCGCCACAATATCACCCGCCAGCCGGGCAAATGAAAATGTCCGTCGCAGAATAGCGGCCCCGGCGTCGGAGCGATTTACCGCCAGTTGCCCGCCGCCGCTGAATGGCTCCCATCACCCGTGTGACTAAAAGCGGTTTAATAATAACGAGACTCCAATACTGGACGGGGGGCCGGGCCGGGCCGGGCCGCTGGCTGCTCAGGCGTGCTAGCGGGACGACGGCCGACCGAGCCTTCCGCAGTCGGATAGACGCAGCCGACCGAGCCTTCCGCAGTCGGATAGACGCAGCCGACCGAGCCCTCCGCAGTCGGATAGGCGCAGCCGACCGAGCCTTCCGCAGTCGGATAGACGCAGCCGACCGAGCCTTCCGCAGTCGGATGGACGCAGCCGACCGAGCCTTCCGCAGTCGGATAGACGCAACCGACCGAGCCTTCCGCAATCGGATGGACGCAGCCGACCGAGCCTTCCGCAGTCGGATGGACGCAGCCGACCGAGCCTTCCGCAGTCGGATAGGCGCGGCCGACCGAGCCTTCCGCAGTCGGATAGACGCGGCCGACCGAGCCTTCCGCAGTCGGATAGACGCAGCCGACCGAGCCTTCCGCAGTCGGATAGACGCAGCCGACCGAGCCTTCCGCAGTCGGATGGACGCAGCCGACCGAGCCTTCCGCAGTCGGATAGACGCAGCCGACCGAGCCTTCCGCAGTCGGATGGACGCAGCCGACCGAGCCTTCCGCAGTCGGATAGACGCAGCCGACCGAGCCTTCCGCAGTCGGATAGACGCAGCCGATCGAGCCTTCCGCAGCCGGAAAGACGCAGCCGACCGAGCCGTTCCGGCCCGTGGACAAACACAGGTTTACTCTGCCACAAGTTAGAACTGCACCCCAGCCGAGAACGGCGACGCGCACCACTACCGGGAAGGCAGCGGGTGGTTCAAAATACAGATTTTGTTCTTTTGGGCCCGGTGACCCCTCCTGGTTGCCTAAGGTGGCAGCTTCTCCAAGAATGAATAGCTTCGTAGCATCTTAAGCTGGAAATGATCGCCCGTTTCTGGTTACGCGGCACAAATACAGTAAGCATGATTTTTTACTGCAGTGGTAAAAACTGGTCTTATCAACTCAATCAAGCCGTGACAGCGGCTAGACATAATTGGACACAATCGATGTTACTTATTTCAGGCCAGATATAACGTGTATCAGATAGCATTCCGACAATATCGAGTGGAGTTTCTAATTCGAAGCAATACTGTAAGAACGCCCAATCCTAGAGTATTAGTGTTTACAAATGTATACTCCAATACAAATGTATTAGTATACAAATGTATTAGTATTTACAAATGTAGTATTTACAAATGTATACTCCATCTTACGGAGGAAAACTATGTTTCCATATATCTACCTGCAAAGTAAATCTCCAATTTTCGCATTTTTCAAGACATTCCAGTGCATGCCTGAACACACGGTCGCCACTTTAACCTTTCACAGGCATTCAGATAAGTTCAACCTTTATACAGGCTCCAGTTCGGCCCGTGGACAGACACAGGTTTATTCTAATACAAGTTAGAACTTTCTACCATGTGCATGCGCAGATTCTGCAAATGCAGTTGTGCAAATCCCAATTCAGCCTCGCACGGACACAACGCTGGACCATACGAAGACGTTAGACGCGAGGAGACCAGTTCACCGCGTGCACGGTCAGACGACGCCCCGGCGCCAGTCCAGATCGTGCAGGCCGCGCGAGGGGACCAGTTCACCCCGTGCATGGTCAGACGGCGCCCGGCGCCAGTTCAGACCGTGCAGGCCGCGCGAGGGGACCAGTTCACCCCGTGCACGGTCAGACGGCACCCCGGCGCCAGTTCAGACCGTGCAGGCCGGGCGAGGAGACAAGTTCACCCCGTGCACGCTCAGACGGCGCCCCGGCACCAGTCCAGACCGTGCAGGCCGCGCGAGGAGACCAGTCCACCCCGTGCACGCTCAGGCGGCGCCCGGCGCCAGTTCAGACCGTGCAGGCCGCGCGAGGAGACCAGTTCACCCCGTGCACGCTCAGACGGCGCTCCGGCGTCGGCCCAGACCGTGCAGGCCGCGCGAGGAGACCAGTTCACCCCGTGCACGGTCAGACGGCGCCCGGCGCCAGTTCAGACCGTGCAGACCGCGCGAGGGGACCAGTTCACCCCGTGCACGGTCAGACGGCACCCCGGCGCCAGTTCAGACCGTGCAGGCCGCGCACGACGCCGGTTCCGGCGGCCGCCCGGGGCGCCGCCGGCGGCGTCGCTCTCCGTGCGGGGGCCGCGTTAACACCTCGGAACGGCCGGCCATCGAGGCGATGGCGGCGCGGGCGGCGATAACGGCGCACGGCGGCCGTAAATCGCCGCTGCAGCGCCGCTAACGGCCGCCAGCCATCAGCGCCAATGAGGCGGCGCGATGGAGACGTGAGAAGCGTCGGCGCGGCCGCCGGCGGCCCTCTTCGCACGTCATGTAGGGCGGCCGCCGGCGGCGAGGGGCGGAGCCTGGCGCCCGCCGCCGCCCCGCCCGGCGCCCGCCGCCGGCCGCGCTCCCACCGGCTCCCCTCCTCCGCCGTGCGCGGCCGCCGGCCGGCCGGTTCAAGGGCGAGGAACGCCCGTCGGACGCCGGGCAGGGCTGCCGTCGTCGCACCCGTTCGCGGCGCTGACTGGCGCGGCTCCGTTCTGGTCGGCCGAGGCTCTTCGAGAGCGCCGCGTCTGACTCTGTGGTCGCCCGCGCCGCGTTCTCCGCTCTGAAAGCGCTCCTCCGCACCCGGCGGCGGTCCCGCCGGACCGTGCCCGACTCCGTCCCCGCTCGGGGAGTGTTCTGTCGCCGCCGTGGACCAGACGGTCCTCGTCTAGCTTTGGTCCCTGCTCCGCCTCGCTGCGCCGCCCAGCTGCCGTGGTCGCCCCGTCCGCTGCCCGCTGATCCAGATCTGCTAATGCGCCGACCGGCAGGGCCACCCAAGCAGCTTTCTCTTGTGTCTCGATGCGGCATGAAGGCGCAAGCCTCCGACCACCAGTTGGGCTCGGAGCGGTGGCTGCCGCTCTGATTGCCAGGCCATCATGATCGCGGTGTTCGAGCTCGTGTTAGGAGGGCAGACGAAAGCTCTGACGAAAGCCGGTTTAGGAAGTTCCACAGCTCAATTGCTTGGGTTGTATACGAGAAAACGAATTCAGCATCTAGGAAGGGGATCCACTGGCAAATGCATGGGGCCAGCGGGACAAAGAGCACTCAGGCGGTGAAGACAACCCTAATTTCAAGTCATGCTTTGGGCGCAATCTGCGGGACACCCATAAATCATACAATGAAGCATTATCAACATGGAACCAACAGCATCCAACATCCGATGTTGACTGGCAATGCTGCAAGTAGTACTGGAAGCAGTTATAATGCTGTAAGTGATGAGAAATATAAGTACTGGGAGTAATACGAAAAAACATTCTGTTGTATGCTGCTAAAAGCGAGTTTTTTTACCATCATATTGATATGATGAGAATAAATCGCATTGCCTTTAACATTTTCCAACTCAAGCACGCCTTCGAAGTTGCCGTCCCATCTCCTTTGACCTAGGTATGCAGTTCCACACATACAGTTGCCGTATATCACAGACTGAATGATTGTTCGGACTACCGTCCTTGTCTGGCGTGTTAGATATGCACAATGGTTTGGCCGGTTAGCTCTCCAGCTGTCGTCCGGTGTCCCGGAGCGCCGAGAACGACTGGATGATGTCCGCCTCTCAGCTACACATGCGTCACAACGCGAATTCTCTCCTTGGAATTACTCGGATTCGAACTAGTCTTCTGCTTGCGAGTCCAACGCTATACCAACTAATCTCACGGGAATAACAGCTCAGTCGTCTAAAATCAACTGTCCTCTCAGTGGTGTAACAATAAGCCACTAATTTAGGTAAATATTGACACCGGTGCTTCAGAAAGTGCGTGCCAAGCCGGACGTTCGCATGTTCCCGATCAGCTCGACACTGCACCTGGCAGCCGCATATTCGCTGAATCCCATCGCTAGAGGGAATGTTCCAAAATTCGGATTCAAATGCTCAGCTTAGAGTGAAAACTTAAGTGATTCCAGCACGTCACTAATGGCGATATATTACTTGGTACACCTTGGCTGGTACAAGATGTGGTTGTATCTAGATTTGCACAGATATCTGTACACTAGACGCCGGAGCACGAGTCACCAATTACTAGCGAAATCCCAGTCAGAAGAGAAATCAGCGCCAGCCCGAGGTCAGTGAGGCATTTCTTGCGAGGTGCACCGGTCATTGACCCCGGCAGCAGCACCTTGCGTTATCATGTGTTGCAGCACTCAGGCCCCAAACTTGAAAAGGTCATGTAAACACATGGGAGAAGCCAACCAGACGTTGAGGGTCATGTACACATATGGGAGAAGCCAACCAGACGTTGAGATTTCCGATTCTTCCGTACGCCCCCCCCCCCCCCCCACTAAAAACGCACTGAAACATGGAGATGACGGTTTCTTTTCTGTCGAGTTGCTATTTTTAACCTCGTGTCACCGATGCTCACAAAAATATGTCCCCATGAGAT